TACGATATGACAAGGAGAAGAGATTTAAACTGTCTAGTCTTTCCTCGTATGATAAATTAGTCATTCCGAGAACCAAATGTGTTGCCTTCCTTTGAACCCTTTCTAGAATGTGTGAGTCCCCTTTAGGATAAGGGCTGGCGGCCTGGATGCAGTTTTCCAGTCTTGACCTCACCAGAGATGTATATAAGGAGGTGAGCATATCTCTGATGATTCTAGTGAAGGCTCTACGAATTGCCCATAATGACCTGAAACTACGTGCAGCCACCGCGCGACAGTGTGCTGTAGTTTTTAAGTCGTGGCTAACTATGACACCTAAGTCCAAGTGAGTCTGAACTGATGGAAGTGTAATTCCCTCTAGTTCGTAGGAGCTCGTGCTTGCTTGTCCAATGCGCATGGTTGCACATTTTGCCACATTTATCGGGAGCATCCATTCTATGGACCACTCTGACAATTTGTTGAGGTCCTCTTGCAACGTGGACGTGTCACTGTTGCCCTTCAGCTCTCTCTTCAAATTTTTAAGTCATCTGCTTATAGGACCATAGGGGAGTCGGTGAGCAGAGATAACTCATTGATATACAAAATAAATAGGAGAGGTCCGAATACCGTGCCTTGTGACTTTCCGCTGCGTACTGCTGTCCAAGAGGAGAGTTTCGAGTTGATCTTAACCCTCTGCCTCCTATCTATGAAGAATTCCCTGAGCCAGTTTAGTAAGCTGCCTTTGTTGATACCAAGACTTTCCAACTTCATGAAAAGTCTTTTGTGAGGTACTTTATCAAAGGCTTTGCTGAAGCTAAAGAGATGTGAAGATAAATATCCAACGACGGTAATGGATGGGGATGGCATCAGTGGAAATTAATGGACTATTGGATTCCAACCTAGTTATAGAAGGGTATTTTATAAATGTGTTGTTACCTGTTAGCTCGCGCTTTGATATTTTGCACCCAGCTGGGCACTAACTAAGTAGGGGAGTTGAAACAGCTGTCCAGTGCTCTTTGGTTCGCTAACTCATGTCGGCCCATGACGAAATACGCCTAATAAGGTAATTAATATTACAGTTTTCTTTTAAATACAATTTTTTTAATGCTGAAAAAAGGAGAGTTTATAGGCAGTATTATACTACCCGCTTGATACGGATGCATAAAACTGACGTACAAAAGAATAAATTTCAAAGCGGATGAAATGTTAAATCTATCCCTATTATTATTATTATTCCCTTGGGTTCCAAGTAGAACATAGGGCTTCAGAAGTACATCTTTATCTCACCCTGTTCTTTTCTGTCTTCTTTAGCTGTGCCTACGATTGACCGAAAGCTTTCATCCCCTCCTCACGCGATCTCCTACTTGTCGTCCTCGGATACCAGCACAACTTATCGTTTTCCATTTGGGTTCCACTCTGCCACGATGGTCTGGAGCGCAGTGTCACTCGACGGTCTCATCAGTGTGTATTCGATCCATTTTCACTTTATTCGTCATATTTGCTGAGCATTAGTTTCTCAATTATTTCATTCCCAGGGTTTCTTGTTTCTAATTCTTTCTGGCCGGCTGTGTGATCTTCAATATGGAGCCAGAGAAGAAGGCTGTTGACAGTGTAACAACAGAAGACAAGGGCCAGGCAACAGAACGTTTATTACGGAAAATCAACACGTATTTATAGATTTTGATGTACATTATTGTAGGTTTATGTTAGTAGAAAATACAGTCTGTTGATTGGTTGTTTCTCACACAAAGTTCACCTTGCATCTCTTGTGGCTGTGTCAGTTCTGTATCCGCCTGTCTATCTTGACCTTGACCTCAATTACTGTCAACCACAACATGACTAATATTTGATACATAAACATTGACCTCAATTACTGTCAACCAATTTGGCTAGCAACCATCTCTCACCACAACAGGAGTCTGCAACAGGCTGTTAGAAATACACTTCGTGACGCGTTCGCCAAGTTTCTGATTCACATAGAAGGACTGACTGACTTGACATTGCTGTTGAAAATCCGAATTTTGTAATTTGGGCTGAGTACAGAAGATTTACCATTTGATTTCAGAGTGATGAATGTCTTCCTTGCCTTCCCGATTCCGGTTTCGATATTCCCATCTGTCCCATCAGCCTGTAGTTTAAACGATGCTAACTAGATAAGTGAAGGAAGTCACGTGTTTCAAATTTCTTCCATTTATAGTGATCGGTGTTTGTTCTTGTTGTCGGCTGGTTATCTTCATCACCTCCACCTTCTCTATGTTCACTTGAACTCCTGTCTTGCTTACTTCTTCTGCATCCTATGTGAATATTCAGTATACAGGTGACTTTCATGAAAGCATTATTAATTAAAATAGAATTGAAAACTAGAAAGCATTCCACGGTTGTTTTGTCCCTCTTGAAACTGAATTTCTGGCAGTGCATAACCTCATTTCTTCAAGCTGGAATGTGTCTAACACACATTCACGTCTAGAGTCTAGGACTTCGATATTAACTCCACTAGGTTGAAATTTAATCCTCTCCTACCTACAAAATCCTGTTCATTTATCATGATACACGAATATCGTCCATTGTCACCGAGAGGTCATTTATCTACATCATTCTGTGTAGATTTCTGTCTGAAAAAACTTCGAAAAAATTATCTCTATACTGTCCGAAAGCTTTCATTCTAAAGGATGGACTATTCAAAAATTTGGTTTCAAAAGGAAACCCCTGTAAAATTTCACTCTCCCGTCCACTACCCCTCCCCACCAAACTGTGTACACTTCAAATTGTGGATTTGATTTATCTACCTTTGAGGCCTTATGTCTTACTAGGGAGGCATTGGATGGAAAACAATAATGATAATGATGTCCCATCCCATTGTGTTTACCAATTTGAATGTACGTGTGAGCACAGATACATAGGGAGGATCACCGATACAAGGATAAAAACTGGGCACTTTGGTATAGAATAATTCCGTATATCGTATCAAGATACCTTGATATGATTTTTTTAAATTCCTTTACGTTTCCAGTGGAACATAGGACTTCAAGTTAGAGATTTGCAGTTTCGGTGGCAGTGGTGGTTATTTTTACGGAATGGGGTTGCTTACCTCATGCTTAACCTGCCCTCTTTACCAGCCTTATTACTGGCTTAGCGAGGTAAAGGAGTGCGTCGGCCGGGAACGAACCCCGGATCATATGTGTGGTTGGTAAGCATCCTACCATGGTGCCACCGACGCATCTTGATATGATTATGACCAATAAGTTGTGCTCGAAACGTCAGCAGTAAGTATTACAATATAACACTTAACCAAAATTAGATTTTATCCATAAAGGACTAATCGATCTCTGAAAATAAGGACTGGTTCCAGAGAATATTCCTAAATGGCTTCAGAAGCAAATAGAATCCACAGAACCCATTAATGGTGACAACAGGAGACATAGCTCCTCTAATACCAGACATATTATAGAGACAGGACATAAAATTGATGCTTACACACCTTTTAAACCTATCTTTCAAAATGTGTTTGGAGCGTATCCTAGAGTTTGTGAAAGCCCTAACTGGCAATTAGGAAGTTTCAACCACCTTTATGCGTTCAAAGCGACAGTTCTTCATCACAATAAACCTTCCTTGGTAAATATTGTTTTGATACCAACCAAGGTAGATGTACTATTGATTACCTCTGTTATTTGGTTTCGTGATCTTCATTGTTATTCTGACCTTCGATATTTTCTTTAAACTTGACCTAAGTTTATTTTCTCACTTCTTAACTGTTTATTAATTTCATGTATATATATTCCTATGAGAAGTCCGTGTGTGATCAGATTGTTCGGACTGTGTGGCGCAAATACAACATTACACGATTCAGACAAATTTCGCCTTCTTATTACTTTGTTTAAGTAATGATAATACTAATAATACTAAATTAATATACATACAGCAAAGATCAAGTCAACAACGACCGCATACTTTAATCTAACTTTATAATTATTGTTCTAGAATTACACATTCATTCTTTTCACCAGTTTATTCACTGTTGTATTCCCTTTTACTCTAACATTCATTATCTTATCTAACATGCATTACTGTTTTGCTACGTGGTAGTATTTCAATATATAAGGGTTTTCAACAGAATTAGTGCAGAGTACTTTATCTAGTTTAATTTCTAAGCCTTATTTCATGACATAAATCAATCATATCACTATATCTGCTTTACATTGTTTTGTGTTAAGACCAAAATGGGGAATTATGCGACAACAGAATTACTACTTGTCTCGACAATTTGATATCATACTTGTTGTTGGGTTAGTTAATCAAACCCATGTTGCATAAGTTTTAATGATCAGGGTCTTTTGAATGGTGGAAGACTTAACTACTACCTCTAGATTTGGTTTATACTGTTAGCTAGAAGGACAAGAAAGGAACGGAAATGAGTCAATGCACTGGGTAGATCCTCAAGACTGTAAACAATCAGGTGTGTAATTCGCGCTCATAATATAGTCTGACAATTACACCTATGAACTAATTTTCATTGTGAAAAGCAAAAACTGTTCTGCGAACTACTTCTCGGGCTTCAGATGTTATAAAACGTTCGGAATTCGTTATATGTTTGGCGCCTACTTTATTTATTCTATACTATATGAGATCAAATGTATGTATATGTCACTGTGATGAGCAATAACTCCAGAGGAAGTAATTAATTCATAACGACTGCCTTTTACTAATCATGCTGAATTATGCCGATCAGTCCGTTCACGTAGCTAATCATAATATGGATAGTTTTTGAACTGATTCAGCCTTTTGACTTGAGAGAAATCGGGAACTTGGCTGATGAATTTGACCCCAAACGACCGGAACATCTATCCAATGTTTAAATTACTTCGATCTGATTAACCGAGCAGTATTGTTAAACGTGAGTAATATCAGTATCTGTATAGTATGCTGAACAGTGCTACGAACTGTTAAAACAAATGGATCACACACTTTAACGCAACATAATTCTGACAAAAACTTTCAGCCAATTAAATAAGAACGTGAATAGTTATTTGTTTTTTACAATGTTTTATTCAATTTTTCAATGACGTTATTTACCTACTTATTTCATTCAAGTAGTATATGAATGAAAAGGAGAAAAATACAAACACCAGTTAGGAGAAGAGGAAAAATGAACTTTTTAAAAAAAAGCTTCGGAAATAAAAATAAAACACACATTCAAGGTGTTTCAGTGTCATAAAGCCTCCAAAGTTCTTTGGGAATGAAAATTCGCTGATGATAAAAGCTTTGACAATGGGTAACAATGAAAATGGATTGAGGGAAGAGTGTATAAATTATCGTCACAATATACAATGTAGAGTTAAATTAATTTAGAAGCATTTACGATGTACAATACCTGGACCAGATTCATCGTATTCATGTTTTGTTATCCACATTTGATTGAATGTTGACAATGAGGCTAAAATTGAACCACCAATCCATACAGAGTATTTACGTTCAGGTGGTGCAACTATTTTAATCTTCATTGTTGTCGGTGCAAGATTACAAATCTCTCTTTGCATACGATCTGATATACCGGGGAACATTGTTGAACCACCAGAGAGAACAATATTAGAGTATAAATCTTTACGAATATCAACATCACACTTCATAATTGAACTATACGTTGTTTCATGAATACCTGCACATTCCATGCCTAAGAAACTTGGTTGTAGCATTGCTTCAGGACAACGGAAACGTTCATTACCAATTGTAATCACTTGACCATCGGGTAGCTCATAACTTTTCTCTAGTGATGAACTATGCGAAGCAGTACCCATTTCTTGTTCAAAGTCTAAGGCAACATAGCATAACTTCTCTTTAATATCACGTACAATTTCACGTTCAGCAGTAGTTGTAAATGAATGACCACGTTCCGTTAATATCTTCATAAGATAGTCAGTTAAATCACGACCAGCTAAATCGAGTCGAAGAATTGCATGCGGTAGAGCATAACCTTCATAAATAGGCACAGTATGACTTACACCATCTCCGGAATCCAGCACAATACCAGTTGTCCGACCAGATGCATACAGCGACAGGACAGCTTGAATTGCAACATACATAGCTGGACTATTGAATGTTTCAAACATAATCTGTGTCATTTTTTCACGATTTGCTTTAGGATTCATAGGTGCTTCAGTCAACAGGACAGGATGTTCTTCTGGAGCTACACGTAATTCATTGTAGAATGTATGATGCCATATCTTCTCCATATCATCCCAATTTGAAACAATCCCATGTTCAATAGGATACTTCAATGTTAGAATGCCACGTTTCGATTGAGCTTCATCCCCAACATAACTGTCTTTCTGTCCCATACCAACCATAACACCTTGATGTCTTGGACGACCAACAATCGATGGGAATACAGCTCTTGGAGCATCGTCACCAGCAAAACCAGCTTTACACATTCCCGATCCATTGTCGATTACAAGAGCACTGATTTCTTCATCACTCATCTTGTTTCAGTCAGTTTATAATACGAATTCGAACAATCACACAAAGAATAATCTTCTACTGAAGAGTGCCAGAATTCTTTACACAAGTTAGATAGGTGTCGTTTATATTAATCGTCTCATCATTCAATAACCATATATGGTTATTACATTCACCATTTTTATAAACCAATAAGATGTATAGGCATAATTCTAGGTTAGAAATACTACTGTTTTCAGTAGTCTGTGAGTTCGTTTGTGTTGTTGATGTCATCTCTTCTTCTTCTTATTCTTCTTCTTCTATTTTTATGTCAATAATAAATGTCCTATTGTGCGCTTTTGGTACTAGCGTATCAATAACATGTCATAACTGGTAAATGTGTGCTCGTCAGTGTGTGTGTGTGTGTATATGCAACCATTGATATGTTTACATGCCTTTAGAAAGATAGATTACTCAGACGTCTATGCTTCTTACTTCTTTAAACATTTAAGTGTGTAAGTATGCGTAGTAGCTTGTGTATGTATTATGTGTAAGTCAGTTGACATTGTGTCGATACACAATTATAACCAATGTGCGTAGATAAAAATGTAACATAAAGTTATTATAGGTGATATTCAACAATCATACTGTATCTGTTCACTTTATCTATCTTTTTGTAGTTTGATGATTATTGCCTCGCGTTCCAAGTGGCACATAGGGGGCTTCAACAGAACATCTTCATTTGACGCTGTTCCCCACAATCCTCTTTAGCTTGCCGCACGATTCCCACCCATAATCTTTCATCTTCTCCATGTCACCCTCGACACTAAGCCCAACTCGTCGTTTGTCATTCAGCTTACAGTTGAGTAACCACCTGACGTACGAAATCACCCAATGGTCTCCTCATTAAGTATCCAGTCATGGTTGGTTTGTTCGTTTCCAGAGTTCTTCGTTGCTAATCCTTTCAGGCCAGCCATCTTATCTTCAATATGAGGCTAGAGAAGTGGGCAACTGTTGATAAAATTCTGCAGCTAGCTCTTAGCAATGTTTTTCGTCACTCACGTGACCCATACAGAAGAAGTGACTTACTTAACATTGGTGCTGAAAGTCGGAATTTTGTTGTTAATGTTAATTGGAGAAGAGTTCCAAACTGATGTCAAACTGATGAATGTCTGTCTGCCTTGTCTTTCCAGTCCTGCTTTCCACATCCTCGTCCGTTCCGTCTGCTTGTAGTTGAGACGATGCTGCCTAGCCAGATGAAGGAAGGAAGTGATCTCTTTTTTAAAATTCTCCTGTTGTAGTGATTGGTGCTTGTTGTTGTTGTCTTCTCCATGTTCACTTGATGTCTTGTCTTTGCTGCTTCTTCTGCTAGTTTTTTGGTTTTCGCCTGTATTTCTTCTCATTTATTAAATATAAGTATAAGTAAGTTAACATCTTCTCAAGAGTCTCCTTATCGGTCCAACATAATACGACTGACTTCAATTAATTTTGGTCGGTAGTGTGACTAGCAGCTGTCAAACTCAAAATGTACAATCCGTCCTATTTAGGATTTAGTAGCCGGATATACCTGCAGCGCTGCCAATGGGTGATGGTGTTCTCATTGAAACTGGAACCCAGAACCCATCGTTTCATCAAAACACCAAAGTGCTACCCATTAAGCCACGATAGCCATCTGTTATGCAGTGAAATGTATCAATCACATCATGGATTTCACTGTTAGTAACCACCAAAACAGAAGTGACTTCAGATTAACCCTTAGGCATCATCGAAACGTCGATACTAGTAGACAACACGTCAGCAGAGATCGAACATTTCAGTCCAACATACCTAGTAATCAACGGTATAAGTATAAAACTTGGGCACTGTGTAGAGTATAACTCCATAATGGATAAGATTTTATTTTGATAAATCACACATTGTTGTACAGTAATATTAACTGATGACCACGTTTCGAGCACAAACTATTGCTCATAATCATATCAAGTTACTACTCACACAACTTCTTTCCTTCATTTATATACATGTGTGGAATCAATTAGATATTGCAATAAAATTCAATATGAGATAATGTACATTCAGAAATAATAGCACGAGTGTTATTAATCCATTACAATGAGATGGGAAATACGACGAGTATTTTTATAGTCATATTAAGTTATTTGTTAGAATGTTGTGATGTGTTTGAATTGAAATAGGATTTTAAGATTATTTATTATCCTCTTCTGATTTGACTGACTGGTGGTAATAATATCTTCCATATTTCTGGTATTTGCATTGAGTCATTTCTGTTGCATGTGTTGGGTGTAGACTCGATGAACAAGGATTCCGTAATCAATCTCTCTCTCCACCTACATAGATTACTTCTTAGAATCTAAACCCTCTCCCACCCTATTGTGTGGTTGTGTGTTAATGCAGGCAGTGCAATTGCTGAGCTTTCTTCTGAATTACTTATCTTCTCGGGGTCAGTCATTCTTACCTGAGCTAAATTCTTATGTTCTGATAATCTCACTATCCCTGACATACTAGTTTGACCTATGTAGTTGACTTCGTTCACAGTCATTGCAGCGTATTTTGTAAATTATATTATTTTGTTTAATTGGGTCCACCGGGTCTTTCAACCTACAAAGTTTGTCTCTGAGTTAGTTTGTGGGTTTGAATGCCACCTTAATTCCTGCTTTATTGAGAATCCTACGTAGGGTCTCAGATGTCCCTCTTTATATGGTATAACGGTAAAAGACTTATATTCTCTCTTATTTATGTTATTACTACCAGTTACCCAATTATTTTTATTTTGTTTTTGGCCTTTACTGATCAGTTAATATAACTGTACAACACTGTGTGATTTATCAAAATAAAATCTTATCCATTAGTAATCAACGGGAAATGGAAATTCATCCAAAAACAAATAATTACCACTAAGATTATCAATAGATTAGTTCAAAATCATTTTCTTGATACTGCCAACATGCGTTCTGCTAAATGACTGTGACCATAGTTTTACTGTAGTTTGCTGACCTAAGTACTTCAGTCCCCATAAAAAGATTGGTGATTCACACCCTACTCTCCCTACTTACACTAGGGCACTTTACATGAAGTTTTTTGCTGACAGTCTAGTGGAAGAACAACCTGAATCTCATAAGTGACACACTGCTGATTAGGTTCAGCTTTAAGAATGCATCTTTACTTTGAAGTATTATAAAGGTCAAATATATATTTCGATTGTTTTCCGTGAATGAATGTAATATAAAACAGTCCACGGAGAACTGGAAGTGTGACCACAGAATAATGACATAATAGCCTAGATGAGATCGATACTTGACTTTAGATGTCTAACTAAAAATTGTGCTTCATTATGAAAGAATAAATGGGAGGAACCTGAAGGAAACAACCTCTTTTACCTACCTGCCTAGGAAGCATCGTTTCAACTACAGGCAAAACTGACGAGGACATCAATGCAAGAATCGGAAAAGCAAGACAAGCTTTCACTACTCTCAAGTCTGTGTGGAAGTCAACAACACTCAGCATGAAAATGAAAATAAGATCCGGATTTTCAACTCCAATGTGAAGTCAGTGCTACTTACTATACGGATCAGAGACTTGGCGCGTCATAAAGAGCATCTCAAACAAACTACAGACCTTCATTAACAGTTGTCTTCGCTCAATACTCAAGATCAGATGGCCGGCCAGTAAAGATCAGCAACAGAGATCTTTGGGAGCGAACCAATCAGGAACCGATTGTGAAACAAATAAGCAGGAAGAAATGGAGATGGATTGGCCATACTCTGAGGAAACCACCAAATGACATCACTAGACAAGCCATTGCTCGAGTGGAACCCGAAAGGGAAGTGGCGAGTTGGTCGTCAGTGTGAGGTTGACTTGGAGGAGGTCATGTGAAGAGAAGATGAAAACGTGTGGGCAGACTTGGAGCCAGGTGAAGACTCTGGCAGAGAACCAAACGCAATGGAGACGCACGGCTGAAGCCCTATGTTCCTCTAGGAATTTAAAGAAACAATAATAATAATAATGAAAGAATAAATATTTAAGATCGTGTTATGTGTCTCACCATCGAACGTGTATTCTATTCATATTACTAACCGGTTTAACCGCATGCTGAATTTAGTTTCCTCTAGAGAGTATATTAAGATCTCATAAAAAAGGATTTTTGTATTTCCCAATGAATGAAAAAGACAAAACGATATTGTTGTTTTGTGTACTGACATTTCGCTATTTAACGCTGCTACTAACAGCTTTATCAAAGTATTATTATTAAACCATAATTTACAAAATCCACTCAGCTTATATACGACACATTTAATCATCGTTCCTCAGCATAGGGGCATTTTTGCGTTGTCAAGTTATCCAGCTAGTAAAGGTAACAAAACTAGGTGTAGACTGCTGGATTTGATAAGTGTATAAAATTGTAAAAGCAGCATGTGCCTACATAATGAAATTGTTCATCACATTCATGTTGATTTTGTCACTCCATTGATGGAGGGAGGGGACGAAGTGTAGGTACCAGATCAAATTCTGTTTTAGTTCATCATTCCTGTTCAGACAGTTTGGATTCTTTGCGATTTCTGAAATTTTTCTGGATTATTTCAATACTGTCAAAATCATTTTTGTGACCTGGATCTATAATGTGTAGAGAATTGTGGCCGGTGATTTTTCAAGCTTCTGTAGTTCAACTGGATTTCTCTGTGGTCGAATAGATGCTCTGTGATGTTCATTTCTTCTGATTTCGACTCCTCTCTGGCTATATTCGTCTGATGTATATCGCATCACACACACCAATTCAGTATTTTATTTTGTAGACACAATTAGATAGAGAATTCTTAGGGATTTGGTCTGTTACATGGAAAAAGTTTATTTGTAGTGTGACTGGAGTTTCTAAGAAAACTCTGATGTCAAGCTTATTGACTACTCCTCTGATATCGTCTGACGTCTCTGATCTATATGGAATGGCAACTCTTGAGATGCATGTTCCGGAATGCGTTTTCGACCATACTTAATGTCATTGTTGATTTTGTTGATGAAGTTGGTTGGGTAGTTATTTTGCTTGAGAGTCCCATTAATGTTTGATATTTCTTCTTCTTTTTATTTCTCATTCGTCAGCATCAGAGAGTGTGCTCGTCTAAGGAGACTTGAAACAACTGACACCTTGGTGCTGATGAGGTGTGATGACCCGAAGTCGAAATATTCGTTGGAGTATGTTTTCTTCCTGAAAATAGATATAGTGAAATACATATTTTCCCTCCTGTTAACTAGACAGTCTGGAAATGGTAGTTCACCGACGTCTGATTCTGCTTTTGGAGTAGACTGGATGCTGAGAGACAGATTGTTCAATTTCTTCAAGAATGAGTTGTGTAGATCGTGTTTAACCACAACAAAAGTATCATCTACATATCTTAACCATATTTTAGAAGTG